CAGGCTGCTGTTGTTCCGTTTTTCTCCGGTTTCGGATTCATAATCCTTTGTCGGTCGCAGCACCCTTGGGGTGTGTTACTTCTACCTTTGGTCACAAAGGTTACGTGCGTTTCTCGAACCCACGGATTGCAAAAATGTAAGGGGCCTATTGTAAAGCACCCAAGTAAATCTTATTGACTCACCAGGATTCTGGCTTGCGCCCTGGAATTTCAACCCAAAGCGCTTGCTGGTCTTGGCTTGTTTCTATGAGGAATGCCCCAAATCCTCATTGACTCAAGCCTGACAGCAGGTTCCGCGTAAAGGCACTGTGGTGGCAGGAAAGAACAAACATCGCCGCCTGGTCGGGTCAGGGGAGCCACGGCAAGGGAAGCCATTGCCGCCGAGTGAGTGACTAGTGACTGGTGACTATCAGCCAGTAGAACCATTCAGTCGGTCTCCGAAAAGGATACGTCCCCAAAACGCGCCCGTCACCTTGTGATTTGCATCCGGCATCCTGGAGATCGGTTGGCTTGCCTGTGATTTCTTCACCTTCCGTGGTTGCAGGGTACTCTTTTTGAGGTTGGTTGAAAGGGGAACCAAAGGAAAGCCACATCTTTGGAGGTATCCCTAGGCCATGGGAAGCCCAAAATCCAAATCGTACCCCCAGTGAACATCAACCAATCCCAACTAAAATAGGTCCTAAAATGGGACATAAAATTCACCTACCAACCAAAATGGGGGATCCCATTGGCCCATTGGTTTTGACAACCACGGCCATTTTGAGACATATCCAAATTCTTCCTGGCAGCCCTCGTCTCCCACCCAACAGTTGAATCGCTCCTCTGACCACTCGTGGGCCCCGGGCATATCTGCAGACTCGAGTGCAACCTTTGCCGAGGCTGGGCTCATGTTTTCACGGCAAATCTGGTTTCCTTTTGGTTTCCCCTTGGATATCAAACACAACGGGCTAGGTCCTCCAGAGAGCTTAGAATAAGTTGGTACCCACTTGTTTCAGTCTATTCTAGGGGAACCGAATCTCCCAACCAAAAAAGGGGTCAAGAAGGGCACCTGGCTGGGGGACCTAAACGTCTGTCCGCCATTTTGAAGGCCCTGTGAGCCAGGAGCCATGGAACAAGACCTGCCAGCTTCTTGCGTCGATATCTTTGGTGCGACCAATCACCCTCGCAGATCCAGAAAGGCGCGTCGTTGTTGTTGCTGTTGTTGTTTGTTTTCTCCTTTTTCTTCTTTTCGGGCCACCCAAAATGGCTTCGGTTCTTCTGTTGGGTTTCCTAAAAAAAAGGGGGGTACCCTCAAAAATAAGTGAGACCGACCCATATGGCAAACAGGATCCCTTTCCGAGGCAAGCAGTGATCTTGTTGTGCAAAAAAAACCCATGGGGGACCGAGTCCGAGTCCATGAGAACCCACATTCTTCTGTGGAACGCTTAAAGGGCCGAGAGTCCTAGAGCTCATCAGCGCAGCGCTAGTTTCATTGCCCAACAATCCCTGGTGTGGCGATTTTGTTTGGCAGTCAGTACCCGGTTCGCTTTGAGGAACGCCACTATTTCAGGGGTCGAACTCCCTAGTGTGAGACGCACCGTGTTGGATGGAACAAAAGGAAAGGAGACGAACAACCCAAAACAAAACGCATTCATGTCAAACTGCTAAGCTGCTAACTGTCTACAAACTATGTCAAACTGCCACAACAAAATGCCCAATCATGGATTCCATACATGTCAATCTGCGGTACACATATGCCACGCGCAGAGCTTCGTTGTCCAGGTGCAGTTCGCTTTGATGCGCATGATCAAACAGCTAGGCGTGGCTTTTTGCTCCCAGCAAAGTAACAAAGCCGTCTGTGGGGACCACCTCAAAGAAATCCCGTCTTTGAGATGGAGCAGCTTTCAAGAACATCTCTCTTGTCTGACCCTCGATGTCAAATGTGTCAAGGCTACAGGGAGCCTGCTGCAGATCTCCAACAACAGCGTTCCACCCCACCCCTTTCTGGTTCGCGAGAGGCTCACCCGGGCTGCAAGGCGCTGACAATCTTGAAAAAGAAACATCGCTCAACCAGAAACGGGAAGTCGAGTCGAAAAAGCCGAACCGGAAGTGGGTTCCTTTTTTCGCCGTACTTGCAAGGAAACCATAGCAGAAGCGCTTAGATCACGCGGGCTTTTGGTTTTCAGGGCAAACATACGAGCGTTACGGGGAGATTGCCGAGACAAGCATCCAACCTGTGTGCTGGCATCCCAGCCTGGTAAACCCGCCAAGGAACCCAACTCCCACCCACCCACCCCCCTCTGGTGGAGCTTAGGTTCTCAAGGAAATCTCTGGTAAACCTTACGTCCTGGCCTGGAATAGACCTGAGCCGGGCACGTTTCCCATTTCCATCGACTTGACGAAAGACTTCAGGCTTGATTGTTTCACCTTTTTGTCTTCCTGTTTGACCTTACTAATTTCACATAGACACAGAAAACAGACACAAACACCAACACACATCAACACATTGTATGTGTGAAACTAGGGACACCCCCCAAATAAACAAATAAATAAATAAATTACTTCGCAAACGCGAATTCCAAACATAAAATCTAACAACCCCTTCCTGTCGGGTGAGGAATAAACAATGTGGTTGTCCTTCTGGTGTCCCTTTTCGGCGAGAAGCCAGTGTCGCCGTACTTCGGCTCCGTGTACGAAGTGCATAACCTGAGCTCACTTGCCGCATGGAGCACCCCCCCAAAAAGGTTGGCTTCAATTGGATGTCCTGCTAACAAACTTCCCAGAAGGGACTTACCATTTGACACATCCGACGTCCTAAGGACTAGAATGTTCAGCCTCAAATTTGCTGTGGGAGGGTCCATGGATTGCTTTTCAGATTGTGGTTCAAGGGAAGTCACAAGAAAAAACACAAGTCGTTTGGACGGGCCTCGCCACAACTGCTGTGTTCCAGTGTTTGTGGGAGGAAGAGTCAATTCCCCCTGATGGCAAGATGTACCACGGGTCCAAAAGAGTGCGACCGCCGAATCTATTCCCCAAAAAGCCCTGTCCAGCTTGTTCTTGAGAATTGCAATTTGGTTGGACTCACTCCGACTGTCTCTCCAACCCAAGCGCCATAGCTCAGCCACGACACCTCGCCAGGTATTCAATGGTGAAGATGACGATGCAAACCGCCTGGAAAAAGCGTCACTCTGGGTCGCCTCTAGTGGTTCTCGGCCGAAACCCTGGTTTGGCGATATGCGTCTGTCTTTATTAAGTCTACCCCTTGTTGGCGGCGTCAAAGGAAAACCCACACGGGACAATCACCTCTTTGGGGGGATCCCCTAACCCATATTCACTGAGTGCGCTGGAGTTCCTAAGCTTCTGGCTGGTCTACGGTCTACTGGCACCAAATCCGGAGTGAGCGCGCCCTATGAATCCTCAGCTTCGGCTTATCCGGGGCACGCGCTTCACAAACACCTTACCCTCCCCCCAATTGAACGACAGGTTCTATGTTGATTGGTGAGAGAGTACCATCCATCACAAGCTGCAACAACATGGCAACACCATCCCCTGACCCAGTTAGTTGCCAGCCTGGTATCTTGTCTGGATATTTCTCGCTCCATCTTTCTTCCTCTCCCTCTCTCTCATTCCTGATTGTCGCGCTCTTTCTCTGCCCCCCTCCCGCTCGCTCACTTTCCCTCTATATCTCTCTGTCTAATTGTATTTATCTCTTTCTTTATTTGTTGCTTTCTTTCTTTCTGTCTTTTCTTTCTCTCCCTGTCTCTCGCCTTTTCTGAGTGACGATATCGGGTCGGCAAAACAACATCAAGAACATGACGAAGAAGCGCCCACACAATTTGAGGAAACAAATTAGTTGCCTCACAAGCTTCCCCACGACCTCTTCGCCAGTACTGGGCTGCCCTTCTATTTTTTTTAAACTTGTGGATCAAATGGACCCCCCCCACCAAAAAAAAACAAAGAAACACGAACAAAAACCAACGAAAAACCCAAGGGTAGGTGACGCTTAAAGATCCGTCTCACACACCGAGAAGGGCGCCTTGTTCGCTCGCGGCGACTCATATCAGTCGAACAATCCTTTGGAGTGGGTCACTCAAACCTGGTTGATGAAGAGACCGCGGTGAAGGATCCATCAACAGGGTCTTCCTTTGGGTTCCCATGAAAGACCTCTTTTTGGAAGGTTTTGGAGCGCCTAAAAGTTGTCTACCTGGGTCCTCCATGGAAAAAGCCGCAGAATTCCGGAGTTCCTTGGACCCTTTCCGAGTCCGCGCCTCGACGTAGCTGAAAATGTTCAATGGCACCTCGGAAGCGCCAGATAGGACACAAAAAACGACGATCCACTCACTGCTTTTTCCTTCTCCCATGGACTTCATCAAGCAAAAGACCATGTCCGCTGGGCAAAATATGAATGTCTTGCTTAGATTCAAGAGTCATTGCCCCGAATTCATGATTTGGGAAAAAGGTATGCGCGAGGCACCAACTTAGCAGTGGGAGCGTGCCTGAAGTTACATTTCCTCAAGGGACCAAGCGTTAAACCTCATAGCCCTTATGTAGCCTGAATGGGTGAAGTCACAAGTGACGTGGCTTCAAGGGGCGGGGGGACAAGAATAGCCCTCCAAAAGCAAAGCGGAGTGAAATGGATGCTGAAAATATTTTGGCCAAGGCTAAACAAACTAAGCCCCGAAAGGATGGACCTTCTACATGACTCCCCAACCCAAGATTAATAGAAAATGTGACATTGCTAGGCCCTAGAATGTCCTATGTTTAGAAGGAACCCCTTCGTTTACTGGCCTGCCAGTAGATCCCCTCCTAAAAGCTGAAGTTGTGGGTTAAACATTCGGAAACCAACCGCGAAACCGACTAGAAACCGCTAAAAGCAAACACACAAAAACCAAAAGAAACAAAAACCAGTGGATGGCTTGGAACCGCCAAGGTGACGCTTGGGATCTGCCTCCGAAACCTGGCCGAAGCGACCGCGAAGGGTTCGTCAAGGGCGGATCTTCCTTTGGGTTCCCACGAAAGACCTGTGTTTTTTTTTGCGGGTGAAATTCGGACACCCCACCACGAAACCATCTAAAAACCACTAAAAACCTAAGTTGAAGCGGATGGCTGGGAGCAGGAACCTCATGACTTCCATTTGGTTAAGACCCCTGGAGAAAATGAAAAATATGTGCAGTAGCGATCAATTCCTTTTAAAACCAACAAGGAAAAAAAACACAAAAACCTTTGACCCATGCGGTTCTCCGATTTCTTGGCCTCCGGCGGGTTCGCATGCCTCGACCGTTAAGGGCAGCTGTTGCTCGAAGAGCTCTTGACCTTCGGCGGAGATTCTGAAGGTCGCTGAGTCGGAAGCCCATTTCGAGAAGCAACGTGTGGATTTTGCAAACGAGTGACTGAACTAACCACCACCAAACCAACAACCAACCAACAACCAACCACCACCAACAACCAACCACCACCAGCCAACCAACAAAATCTGGGGCTTTGAAGGGAAGCTTAGAGGGCAGACCGCATGAAACAAGACACACCCACATCGGCGTGTCTTTTGTTGCTGAGGGTACCCCTTTGGGCTTGCGGAAGGGGAAAAAGAAAAAACAATTAGGGGGGAGGGTCCCCCATTTTGAGACATGCCAGAAACAGAAACGGGTTGGTGCTTGTTGTTCCTATGCCGTAAACAAAGACTCTGATTCCTTTCAAGCGTGCAAACAACTGGGTTCTTGATCCTTGACATGCCCAACAACCTGTTCGAACAGCTTGTTTGTTGTTCCTTATCATACCCTAAAACCTGTTCAAAACAAATGTGTTGTGTGCTTGCGCAAAGGGTCGAACAACGTGTTGTTGCTTGATCGAGTTCGTTGTCAAGAGAGACCAACGCCTGTATTCTACAAGGCAGACATACTTGTTGTTATAGACTATAGATGTAATTCCGAGACTGAAGCTTGACAGTCAGGAAGGAAACAAACCTGACTTATTGGAACTTGGAACTTTGCTCGTGGGAACGAGCAAAGGGAACCAGAACATCCAGAACGAACAAGTCAAAATTAAAGCAAAGGAAAGCAATCGGAAAACCAGATCGAATGCAACGATGTCAGCACCGCCACTACACCCCAAACCAGCACCAAGACCATCACCGCCACCGCTGGCACCACTGCCAAGGGGAAAGAGCCAAACGCACCAGCAACCAGCAACCAGCAACCAGCAACCAGCAACCAGCAATAAGCAATAAGCGACAAGCAATAAGCAACAAGAAACACGCAACACGCACCAAGCAACACTCGGCAAAATAAACAAAGAACCAATCAACAACACACCGCCAAAGTCAACGGCCACGAAGATATCGCTTAAAGGTGCATTGTGCTTATTAAGGGTTACAACCCACAAAAGCCCTGGCTCCAAGCCTCCTAAGTGGGCTAAGGCTTACTAACCCCTTAAGTACCCGATCGCCCCTTTAACAAAACTCCCCGCACCTCTCGGCGCCCGCCATTGCATCAGGCCCCCCGCATCTGGCCGGCCGCTGCTGAAACTCGGGCATGGATTCCAGCACGAAGGTCACCGTGCCTCGGAAACATTCTCCTCTGTGTCTGTAGGGGTACCTTCCCCATTCGGGATCCTCCTTTCCAGAAAACCTCCAGAAACCAAGGGAAAGTTGCTGGCTTTTGAAAAGAACAATGATTAAAACGAATGGGGAATCAACCCCTGGAGTATGGGTGTGTCTTTTGGTAGAGGACCCCGAAAATGGCGGATTACCTTGTGGTTCCTCTTCAAAACCACCAAACAGGTGTAACCACAAAAACACACACACGCATGAGCCTGTGTCAGTGTGTGCTTGTGCTCGTGCTTGTGTTTCTGCTTGTGTTTGTGCTTCTGTTTCTGATTGTGTTTGTGTTTGTGTTTCTGCTTGTGTTTGTGTTTGTGTTTGTGCTTGTGTGTGTGTGTGTGTGTCTGTGCTTGTGCTTGCGTTCTTGTGGTTTTTGGGGCTTTTGTGTTGGGTGTGCTTTGTGTGTTTCTGTTTTTTTTTGTGTGTGGGTGCTTGTGACCACTATTCTTTTGGGATTCCCTTGTTTCGTGCCATGGTCTAAACTCACAAAATGTGAGTCAGTGCAGCCCAGTGACTGGCCATTCAGACCAAGGGCCACAAATTTATACATGGCTCCGTGGGCAAAAAATCCACCTGCAACCAGTTGGTAGGTTTATCAACCAGTATTCCCAGGAGTTCTTCCATCCTATCTGGTGCAGGGTGGATGGTCAGACCATCCACAGCTCCATGGCGGATCCTCATCTCAATCCATGGCCATTGCAAGTGCAGTTGGCCCCTTGACCAAACACCCGCATATGGACCTCACAAATGGGCGGAGTGCCCCAAAACGCGTCCATGGAAAATAGGCCATGGTTTTCAGTGTTCACTGTTCCCTTCAACATCATCCGAAAAAAAGGTACCCTCATCTGTTTTTTCCTTGCGATGGGCAAAGCCATGGAAAATAGGCAATGCTTTTCAGTGTTCACTTGAAAGTCATCCAAACAAAAAGGCACCCTCATCTGTAGCCTCCAAAAACAAACCTCTCCGGAGCTCTACATCCAACTTGTGACTTGGGGTTTCGTGATTGACTGAAACAGCCGTAAAGAGCAAAGTTGCCGAGTTAGTTGGTGTTTGCTTGCTTGCTTGCTTGCTTGCTTGCTTGCTTGCCTGCTTGTTTGTTTGTTCGTTAGTTCGTTCGTTCGTTCGAGGGTCGTTGCTTCGGCCAAAGGGCTGACGATGATGGTCGTGACCATCACGGCGGAGATGATGGTGCCCAACACATAGCTCTCCGACTTCTCGAACCTCGAGCGACAAAAATCGACCAAAGTCCCTCGAATTGATATCCTGCTGCCGGTTACCTTCACGTGCTCAAGGTGTAGCTTCCCGAAAGACGGCGGGTGCTTGGCCTTCCAGACACCATGGTTACTGAGCAGGGCTGCGGGAAATGGAATCCACCTCTGTGATTCAACAAGAAGGGCTTCCCAAAGCTAACCCAAAGCCAAAGGGGGAGACTCCGCGTATCACAGTGGTTGGATGAACTCCGAGTGATCCCACACCCCTGCTCAGGGAATAAGGCAATGAACCTGAAGATTCCCTTGAAGGAAACCATATGGAATGGTTTGTAGGGGTCATTCCAATTCTCATTCCCTGCTGAGCACCAGCAAGATTAATAGGTTCTGATGAGTATACCTCAAAAATAGGGTAACCCCAAAATGGAAGTTGCCCTGGTAAATTGAAAAGCAGACCTTTCTTCCTGATCTGTTACATATTTAGTCTACCCTAAAATACAACATGGTGTTTGACATAGTGTTTGACGAGACCCACTTGATTCTACAGGAAATCCTGGTTTTCCTGTCGAAATTCCTGCGCCCGGTTGCTATGATATTCGCTAATGTGGGCAGGGGTCCTTACAAAAGGCCTCAGCAATGCTTGATAGTTCTCTCAATATGAACCTTCCAATGCTTGTCTAGAATCGCTACTGAGCGCCCATGACATAGCTAGTCTCGCCAAGTGAAGTGCTATTGTTGACCATCCTTTACAGTGGGGGACAATCTAATGTCAGGATCTGACTAGTTATCCTCCCCGATAAATGCTAACCTGCTGCCCCCTGAATCCCCACACCAAGACTATAGTTTCTATTTCAGACAAGGTTGAACATTTTGGTCACCCCACCTCTACTCCCGAACACGAAACACGTAAGTCTGAATGACAAAACGTATTGCAAATACGTCTTCCAACACTGCTTGCTATAACAAATCCGTGAGAAATTGGCGATCCAAACGGAATACTACAGCTTGTTTGAACGAAGCACTGGCTAGACAAGCTCATAAATGGTACCCCTCTCCACTGGAAACATCCAAAACAACATATCCTTTTGCTTTCCTATGGCAGGCCCGTTGGCCAAACCAGGGAGTGGACCGGAGAGGACCAAAGAAGACCGGAATTTCAGGCTCCTCCAATTGGTGGTTTGGTTGTTGAGGAGGAGTTTTTCCTCTACAAAAGCCAGGGGTTCAAATCCCAAACCACCAATCCAAACCACCAGCAAAGGGTTACCTGAGAATTAGGGGAAGTCCCGAAATACTATTGAGTTCGAGTCCTCTGTGAAGTCTGGATCCAAATCCTTTTGTTTGGCATGTTTGCGCGTTTTCCGGGTACACTAATTGAAACCGTGTCCCCCCTTTATCCACCCATGAGACCTGAACCTGGTATGTTATATATATATATGTGTTTTCTTCTTCTTCTTCTTCTTTTTTGGGTAACGACCCAATTTACATTAAGTTGGTGTCGAGAAGCATGATTCAGCCCCTAGCCCCCAGCCCCCCCACCCACCCACTAAAAAAATCGCAAACCCATGTAGACACTGCCAAAATTGGCCCAGGGCCCACAACTCAACAAGACAAAAGCATGCCAACGGTCTCAACAGGAGATCTCCAGGTCAAGGTGTCCTTCTAAACGAAATAGATGGCACAGCTAAATCATCCGAACCAAACTGGAACCAGCAGAACCCGTCTATGTTTGGCCAAAGTCACCCAAGGACACCTATCCGAAGTATATCTTCTGCCGTCCCATTTCTATGTGTCAACATAGGGGGAGCCCCTCAAAAAATGTTGGCCTTCGGCTTCCTGTTGGTTTTCCGGCAAACCTCGGAAAACCCGCAAAAAAGGAACACGCACCCCCTAGTTTAAGGCCTTCGGCTTCCTGTTGTTTTTCCTGAACAACAAGAAACAACGGAGAAAAACCGCGCACCGCACCAAAGCCATGCCGGTGAGGCGGATTCCACTCCGTCGATCGAATCGATCTGGGGCCCCTGGCAGCTTGAAAATCCGCCGGGGCACGGAGCCTTCCTCCTGGCGAGCCGGCGGCGAGCGGGCGGCCCGACGAGTGCTCTTCCACATGCCCCGTCCGGTGACCTTTTGGAAAAGAGAGGGGGACCCCCTCAGCGTGGGTATTTTCCATGTGAAACGAGTGTTTTTCCAAGTTGGGGTTGTGTGCAGTTATGTGTGTATATATCCTCTGACCACATGGCCCGGGCAAATAGCAAGGCCGTCAAAACCAGTGAAACCCATCTATGTCTGACCAAACTGACCGATCAAAAGCCCACCAGTGGCACATGCCTTTTACATCAGGGACTTATATCTTGAGGCGGAATCCCACGCACCAACTGGATCTCAAAAACTATTCGCAAAGCGAGGTCTTTGCCAAACCAAAAAAATGCCAAGCCACATGACAAGAGCTCCCAAGAAATCATGTAACCCTACAGAGGGCAACCATCCTTCAAGCAAGACACACACGCTATCCCCTACGCTCGCCCCTGGGGCCATCCCACGTCCTATTGTCAAAACAATCCACGCATTAAGAAAACATTTCCTGAGTGGATTGGGAGCAAAAGGCCTCCAAACCTTTGGTTTGCTCCTAAAATGACTCATAATCAAAACCTGGTATTAAAATGGTCGGCCCAGAACCATGTGAAGAATTAAGAAGGCGGAATTCCGCAGCTATTTGTGGTTGGGATTGGCCCTTACTAACCTTCATCTACCCGAATCGGTTTTGAGCAATGACTCACATGGTCCAAACCCCCAAAGCAAGTTCAGACATGCGGGTGGTCCAATTCTGCGACCTTTGGTTTCCCAATACCAACTGAAAGGAGCCATCTTGCGAACCTCCCAGCCACGGACAAGATTCTTTGATCCCCACAAAGAGCATGGGATGCTGTTTTTGTTTGGGGTTATATATAGCCTCTGGAATTTGTTGGGGAATTCGGTGCTGCCCCCTATGTCCTCCCCAAGCTTAGGCTCCCTCATCCATCTTAGACTCCTTGGGAGGGATGCAGTGCACCATCTGGGGCCGCTCCAGCTCCAGCGCAACCTATCCGTCGAGCGGGCGCTTGGACTCGGGTGCTGGGTATTTCCACAGGAAGCTTTGCCAAAAGTAAGGGCCTTGTTTGTATTCTCTTCTCACTTGCTGAGTGGATGGCCCAAAAAAAGTCCACTGGAATGGTCCAAACCCAAAAAGTTTAAAGCTCATGAACTCAGGAAGTGAGTCTTTAAAAGGCGGCACAAGGCGGCACCAGGTCCCAAAAGGTACTTTTGACAACACGCGTGGATTCCCACCCGCCAAAGGGCCGGGAAGCGGGATATGAGTCCCTCCAGCAAACCCGAGTCGCATTTTTGGGGCCAGCTCCCCCACCCCAAGCGGCTTAAAAGTTCCACCCAAGAGCCCGGTTTCAGCTCCTGCTTTTCAAGGGATGACTTTCTTCTATTTGCTTAAGCCCCCTAGATTTTAATTGAAATATATGTTTTAATTAAAACAAGTAGTGATAGATGTCCTTTAAAACCAACAAGGGAAACTATAACATATTCTGCGCAAAGGGAAGCTTTGTTCTTGCTGGGGCTTGGGAACCCCCTGACACACCCAGTGGTGTCTGGAGCGTTTGAACATGGGTGGACGGCCCAAAAAACGTCCAAGCTTTGTATTTACCACTAAAATGGGCCGGACCCGAAAAAGTGTCCAAAGTCCATGAACTCGGGGAGTGAGACAAGCCACGAAAAACCGCCGAGTTCCCTCAGAATGTTGGAAACTTCAACGGACCTCCGTGAGGGCCCAATGATGTTCAGGTTGGTGGCTGGCTGGCTCTTCCCTCGCCTTAGGTGAGTCGTCCTTGAGCGGCTCACTTGCATTTCGTTGCATTGCAAAGATTCGATGGCCCTGGTAAATGGAACACACATCTACGTATTTAGAAAACACGCAGACTGGGTTTACCATGGCCCTGGTTTGTTGGATTTATTCGCCTGGCCCTGGTAACTGGATCTAAGCCGGCGGCTTGCCCATCGATTGCTGCCTACAAAGGGACCCCTTTTAAGCCTTTGGCCCACACGCGTCAAGGCCGTCAGACTCTGGGAGAAGGACCGTTTCGGCGTCACCAAGCTCTCATTTTGGCCAGACAGCCAGACAGAAAACAAAGACATGGCTCAGATCCCCTGCGAAAAGCTGGACTTTCAGTGGGTGAAACGGACCCCCCCCACTAAACCCCAAGAACTTTAAAGACCCCACGACAAAAAAGTTGGGAGCCAGGGCTTCGAACCCCCCAAAACCATCGGATTGTCCTTTTGGATTCCCTTTTCACCAGCCTGAAAAAGGGCCAGCCGCATCGAACCGGTTCGAGGCTTCGAGGCATCGAACCATTTTCAAACTGCCGGGTCGTGGCAACCTGGCAACCTGGACAGGGCAACTCCGAAAAGCCCAGGGCTCCACTTTTCGGGGGGAAGCTCCAGGTGTTTCCGGGCTACCCTCGGAATTCTGGCCGAAGGATTCAAACAAATCACAAGGGATCCTTCATGGGGAGTCGCTTCTCTCATGAGTTTCTTCGAATTTGTGCATATGCGGCAAACCGAACTGAACTTCCAGCAGCAAAAAGCACATGGAACTCAATAGAATTCACCAATGGAAAATAAGGGACCTAGGAAAGCAGCCTTCATCATGGATGACCTCGAACCCCGCCCCCCGACTGACTGCATGCGACTCCGGCTTTCCAAACAGAAATGCACGGCTGGCTCGACCCCCGGCCTCATCTACCTTCTGTTTAGCCTGCGCGATCGTTCGCCAGTCAGTTGCTGCGTCACGTGGGTGTGCGTGCTTGTGCCTTTGGAGTTGGTGGTATTGTTTTTGGAAGTTTTTGGTGTTGCTGTTTTTTTTGGGTGTTGGGAGTTGGTTGTGACTATAGAACTAAGTTCGTACTTACCCAAGTCGGGGTCCCCCCTATGTTTTACACATACCGAAGTGGGACTGTCTGTGTCGGACGTCAGTTCGGTTGCGACAAAGCCGCAAGCGCGCGAAGGCGCCGCCTGCTGCTTGATGGGTGTTTCTGGACATGTTGGAACCCCAGTAAGCATTTAAAGGTCAGCCAAGAGGATACCAACCACTTTAATCCATTTTAGGGGACCCCTTGTGTCTTTGTAGGGGACCCCCCAAAATGATGGCGTTCCTTTTGGCTCCCCAAAAAAACCACCCAGAAAACGGGGTTCCCTCAAAAAGGACAGACCCACAATATGGATTGCACTTCTCACTTCTGCTTCCCCTCTCTAAGGCAACCCTGGGGCGAAAACGAGCCGTATGGTGAGGAGTGTTGGGCGGCTCAGCTTTCTTTACGGTTGGACTCCCCACAGTGGGGTTGCTGGCTATCCAAGCACACCACTAACAAACAGAATATATTAATCAAGTCTTGCAGATGTGTGGTGTGTTCAAGGGACAAAATACCAAAGTCAGTTCCCCCGTGCAAATAGACCAGCGGCTCACTAGCTCGCAACAATGTTAAACCTGTTGAAGCAGCTTCGATTATAGTAGGTTGTATTCAAGTTTCACCTAGCTTCGCAACACGCGTTCAGGCACTGATGATGGTTCCCGCGCCGGTGACAAGACAAGCAGCTGGTCCGCGGCATGCGGACTGTTGCTTTTTTTGGACAGAGGCAACGCCACTGGTTTGTGCCTGCGTCTCAACGTGAGTCTTCGGGGTGCACTCAAAAGCCAAGGCGAGAAATTTTCGTGAAGAGTACGGACCATTCGGCCGGCGGAAGTTGGGGCGCCCTTTCTGGTATCAATTCTTCGAAAAGGTGGGCATGTACCAGTGACATCGAGGTTCAAAAAAGGGGCCATAGTCCTCGGCGTTCGAAGCTTGGCTTATAGAAACATAGCCAGGAAGCTTCCGGTAAACTCCAGACGTGGGAATGATTTTGGGAAACTACTGGTCACGCACCATACCCAGGAAGCTTGTTGGCTCCGATGGTTTCCGGTGCAAAACCGCCACGCAGCGCGTTCGAGCGCGGCCTCATAGGCCCGCTTCAGTCGCTTCAGCCTGGAGTAGGCCTCAAAAGGAGCAGCACTAAGAGCTTCGGTTCAGATCGGCGAGTGACAGGGTTGGGCCCTCCACAGGGTTTGTTTTGTGCTGTCCTTCGTAACGCTTGGAGCCTGGGGGGGAGGGGGGGGAGGGAGCCCAAATAAGGCCTTATCAAGGGCTTAATAGGAGCCAACTGGGCTCCCCTCCCTGCTTTCCAAGCCCCCGTGATTTGCGAATGGCACACACACATCGGCACAGCTTTGTTTCACTCACTTGTCCCTTTGGGACCCAGAAACAAAAGGTGATCACCTTTTGGGGCCATGACTGAAAATGGACCAAAAAGAGCAAACCAAAAGGTCAGATCCGGTCGATTCGCTTTTGGCAAGTGAGCTCAACTTCAAGCCTGGAAAATCAGGGGCATGAGGCGCCGATGGGAATCGACGACAATTGTGGTCAACGTTAGCTCTTGCAATCTGGGATATTCCTTCCGCGAAGCACATTACATTCATTCCCAAACGGTCGCGTCAGAGGCATGAAACGCGCTGTGTCAAAGCGGGACATCAACCGTCAGATCATTTTGCTGGGTGTCTCCTGTTCAAAAAGAGGGTAAGAAAGGGCACCACTGGAGGACCTAGTTGAGGAACCCCACTATTGATACTCTCCCCCAGTCTAACATGGAAGCTCCCAGGATTACCTTTGACTACTCCTGTTGATGTCCTTTCATTCCTCTCCAGACTTGGAAGCTCCCACCCCACTTGCACCGTGAAGCTTGTGGCGTTGCCCCTGATCCCGAAACCCGTCTCTGCGAGAAAACAACAACAAACAACGGGTGGAGGAACTGCTTCAAACAAACCGAGGGGGCCGTCTCAAAGTCGCGGAGACCCCAAGTTTCCCTTGAAAGCTGCAGCCGGAAGCTCCCCCAAGTGGCCTCTGTAAATGGAGTTCCAAGTCCCCCTCTGTTTGTTTGAATCACTTCGTCCACCGGTTTGTCGAGCTAGGGCGGGGGATGCGGGGTGTTTTACCATGCCACCAGCTTCGCAGTGCAAGTCTCTGTGCCAGGTATCTGTCAACCATCTGAAAACCCTGGCTTTGGCACAAAGCAGCTTTTCCATTTGGGACTGGAAATAAACCATCCCAGCAAGAGTCTCCACATGGTGAAATCTTTTTTCGGCAGGGGTCACTGGAGTTTCCCTCCAAAAGTTGCAATGTACTGCCGGGATCCATTGAAATCGCCACTTTTCGAGGCCCAGAACAGGGAAATGGCTCGGAAACCCACGTTTGAACCACCCCAAGGACAGCCTCAAACATTGTGACGCCCAAAAATCCGCTCGGTTGCAGCGTGGAACCTGACTCCCACCAATTGAATTGGCTTGATTGACGTTGGAAGGGGAGCAAAAAATTGAATTTTAGCAGTTAAGTGGGGATTTCCCACCAAACCACAATAAGCAAGAATGTAAAATGTTTCCCAGCGACAACCACCAATTGGACTGCCAGCTCGGAGGTTGCCTGCTCCCAGTGGATGTCCTGCTGGAAGGACCACTCATCCAGGCCTCGAGCAAGTTTGAGGGTTCTGTGGAGTTGGCATCCCCCATTTTGGGGTGGCTTTTGAAGGGAGGCCAAAAGGACAACCATCATTTTTTGGGGAGCCCCCTAAAAGAGGATGGATTTCAACTCCACAATTCAAAAACCTGAAGAAAGAATTGGATCCCCAGGCAAAGCGATTTACATCATGGCCAATCACTCATTTGATGCTGCCAAAAGCGAATCAATGCTTGCATCACTGCGTTCACCGTTGTAAGTGTCGTGTTCCGTCTGTTGCACCCAACCTGCCTGCCCAGAATCTAGCTCAATATTTTTGGACTTGGCGAAATGCCTAGCCCAAGAAGCCTAGGGAGCGTGGGCATATGCATGTTTAAAACTACGGACACGCAGGACAAAGGGCCCGGGCAGGCCTCTGCGTTTGTCTCAGATGGACTCTTGGATCCCGCATCACCTCTTCGCGAAGAAGACTTGTGGTTTTGTGGCCCTTGTGCACACTGCTCTCATAAACTCCAAATATCTGGATTGAACAGAGTTGAGGTACACCTTAACCACATAGTTCCCCAACCGAAAACCCGGTTTCCCAAGCCGGGGAAATCCGCCGCGCTGACCGAGTGGCGCGAAAAGGAAAAACGAGAGGACAAAGCAAGCGGCAAGCAATGGCCTTCCTTTGGATCCCCATTTGTTGTCCTGGAACGCCGTATTTGTAGCTTCGAGCGAAAATTGCGCTCGCTCGAAAAATAATATTCCTAGCCAGGTTGCTTCTTGAGCGCCTTTCTCAGACCCTCCAAAAGAGGTGTCCTTTTGGTACAATAGATGGCTGGTAAATGGAATGAAACCAATCTAAGCCAGTGGAACCCCTCAATGTCCAATGAAACTCACCTAAAGAGGACACCTATGCCTATGCCCGCCAAAAAATTGGCTTACAAAAGTTCAAATCCTCCAGCGGGGGGAAGGGGGGGGGGGTGAATTCCTGGCCTTGCCACCGCGTCCCAAACCCAATTCGCCACGTCGCTTCGGCGGCCTTTTTTATGTGACCCCCCAAAATGACCCGCGGCTTGCTCTAAGTTTCCCTATAAAACCAAAACCGACGTGTACCGAGCCTCCATGGACGACCCCTTCCAAGTCCCCCAGCGCCGGGAGAGAGAACACTTCGAGCGCGCGGACCGCTCGCTCCGGGGCCCCCTGGCTATGCGCCAGCCATTGGAAGTGGCCGTCCAACGCTCCAGGCCTCGATCGACGGGACAAAGAAGGGTGTCTTCTTTGGGGTGGTACCGACAGAAGGGTGCCGTCTTTTGGATGGTACCCAAACATGTTTTTTTGGGGGGAGGGGGTTGGGTGGGGGGGGTGTGCGTGGGGGGTGGGGGGGGTTAAACTCACTTCCCAAGTGGAGTTTCGCCAAAGTAAGGTAACCAAACTTGTTGTTTACCATGCACAAATATAGTCCTCTCGAAAAGTTTAAAGTCAAGGAACTCAGAAAGTGAGTAAATTGGAGCAACAGGAAAACCACAAATTTGAGGGTCCCTTATTTGGACAACCCCAATTGGGCTCTGAATTTCACATAGCCATCTGGGTGTGGTTGTCAAAAATAGGGTAATCCCAAAATGCAAGTTGCCCGATCGGTAAATGGGAAGGCCTAAAACCTGCTGTCCATACCCTTGTTGATTAATTTTGACCCCATACCCACCTGTGGCTCAGATCTTTCAATGTTCACACGCTTCATTCCAGGTTAATGGAATCCAAAAGGAAAACTACAATTTTTGGGGTCCACTTTGACACAGTGTTGCGAGGTTTGGTCAGAATTTCCAGTATCCATTCGGGAGAACGTTGAGGGATTCGGAATTCGGAACATGGCCCCAAACATGAGTAGTTCTTTTGGGCATCCGGTTCCCGCAAAAAACGGGACTCACCCATCTCAAGCCTCCTTGCCCCGTGCCCGTGGGAATAGCGCGTTTGTGGGCGGGTAGGCAGAACGGCGCCACTGGCAACTTGTGTATTCCTAGACTTGACCACCAAACAACTGCAAGTGTATCTTCAGCGGAATTCTGAAAACGCACAAACATTTTCCAAAACTTGCAAAACCTGAGAATATCGGGGTGCTTCAACTTGTGAGCCCTGCTTCTGGTATCTGCGCAACCTACCATAGCTCATCCTTCAACAAAAAGCTCCCACTAGCCAAGGTGGGAGCATACCCCAGAAAGCAACGCCGAGCCAAACATCATTATCCTGCTTCTCCGAATAAACTCCTCCGTTTTGTTTTTTCTTTTTCCGCGGCCATACTGGCAGCGTAGAAGCTGTATGTCATGCAGCTCGAGGCCCTCGAACGGCCTCTTGAGCCTCGACTCTTTCAACTGCCGGACCTCAAGGAATAGGTACAAGGCTCGAGACTCCCTGCGTCCCGAGCAGGTTTAGCTCGGGAAAAATGGCCCGGAGGTCGCTACCCGTGGGGCAGTGAGTCAACTCGAGTTCGGGTCCCTTAAGACGAACAGCAAATGAGGGCAGTTCGGAAAGGTTGCCCTTTCTTGGTGGCTGTCGACCCCTCCGCAAAAAGTGTTTCACCTTTTGTGGGTCCAATACGAAAAATCCCACCCGCTCCCACCAACAAAAGTTAAAGTCCAAAAACCGCTACCCAATAGCCATGAAGCCTTTTGGGGGGTTCTCCCAAAGAAAAAAGAAACACGCCCAAATCTAGAGATGGCCCCGTTCTGGGTTGCCCCAAGATCCGCTTCACACTTCCGGGCCCTGCAAAGGCCCGTTTCGTCTCGTTTCCTCGGGCGCCAGGCGGGCAGCAGATCGGAGCCTGCCACAAAAACCATCGAACGCGAGCAGCTCAAAGTGGTCCCCGCAAGCCCCCGAAAAACCAAAAAGACGTGGGGGAGACGTGGGGGGGGGAAAACGATCCGAGGCTTTCATTCCCGAGTCTCGGGCCCTGCAAAAACCACCGTACAGCCCGGGAGCTAGCCGAAACCCTCGAGGAATCCAGCTGGAAATCGTGTGTCTAAATACAAGCAAATGCCAGTTGCCAGTCTCAATCACAGGCTTTAAAAAAAAGCTGTTTAAGAAGCTTGTTTTAGAGGTTCCCTTCGAAACCAAACAATGGACATACTCGCACTCCTTTGCAATAATTGCGATGATGGTATCATCGGGCATTGCACAATAACTTTGCTGCTGGCACAACAGGGAATCGATGCACTGCAGACTTACATGGTTTGCCTCTTGAAAAAGCGCGCGCCCCGGGTCGGGCCGATTCCCTTAAAAGGCCCGGAGTGTGTTTGGCTTTTACACTTCTTATCTTGTAATACTGTAAGAGGGATAGGTTTGGGTCTGTGTTGTTGCCGCTGTAGTTTACTTGACTTGGCTTGTGCTTTTCGGGAACCTCCTTCAACAAACATGTTGAGAAAAAGACTAGCCATGAGGTGTTTGGCCTTGGAGGGAAGAAGCCTCTTGTTTGTGGTTGGTTTTAACTCGATTGCTTTCTGCGAAGCCCTGCTATCAGTGACTAACTTTTAGTGGTTTAATACGGAAAACCTATTAGTTTGCAAAAAGTTAAAGTCCTAACATCCAAGCAAAATGCACCAACATTATATGTTAACATGATGAAAGTCACCCCCCTAAGTGATGGGTTCAGGGAAACAACCCCCATCGTCTGACTTTGATAACCCCCCGAAACCGTCAAAATAATGACCCCAGTAAAAGGGAATAACCTCAGAAAGCAAAACGGAGTGCCACACTTGGCTGGGTAGAACCCTCACGCCATCCAGGCGATTTGAGGCTGGGTACCCCTTTTTTCTTGTCGGAAACCAACCGGAAACCAGCCTGGGCTGTCCATTTTCTGATCCCCTGCTAAAAGTTCCAGCTTGTGGCTAAAATGGAAACCCCCCACTACCCAAAAAGCTAAAAAAAGCCGAGTTAAACCGGATGGCTGGGAACCACTCAGAAAAGAAGGGCTCGTCACCGTGGCCTGTCGCTGTTCACTAGTCCGTTTGCGATGTGTGGAAATGCCTACTGGAACAACCAAGCCAATGGAAATCCCCACTAAACCAAAAAGCTAAAAAAAGCTTTAAAGAAACTGATGGCTGGGAACCACCAGGTTGCAAACCCAAGGGTCCTTTAAAACCAACAACGAAACAAAAACAAAAACCAAAAAAAAACATCCTCTTAAGCAGCTGGAAGGTATCTTTGGGGGAAGTCTCGATTCTTGAGGCTGTGCGGGCCACGAACTTGACATTCACCAACCAGCCTTGGCTGTCGGCAAACAAGCTCCACATTCCCTGGTTCTCCAGATTTGAGAGGTTAGAATAAGGGTACCCTATTTTTTTGTCAATTTTAGTAGGGGAACCCTTCCCCAAACAAGGGGAGAGAAGGGCACTACTGGGGGACCTAGTTCCCCTGGAAGGAAACCTCGGATTTTGTCCCCGGCACCTCGCAGTGGCAAAGTACCCGGCCTTTCAACAAACCTGGGGGAGGGGGAGGTGAGAAGCAGTTCGATGAGATGGCATGTTCATCAAACAATTAGCAATTTCATGGCGTATTGGTCGGGAAACCATCGCCCGCCCGGAGTATACCTCTCCGAAACAGAACCGGAGACGCTGGGCGGTGATGACAATCAACACATCCCTGTGGTTTCCCTGAATGGGCAGTCAAGCATTTGGGTTTTCGCACCCAGCCCATTGGGGCACAATGTTGGCCCCATGGCTCAATGCAGGCGCAAATCCTGAGCCGTGCTCAGCTTTCCTACTCACTTCCTGAGTGGACCGCCCAACAAGTCCGAACTGTTTATTTACCTAACATAGTCTTCCCAAAAAGTTTAAAGTCCGTAAACTCAGGGAGTGACTTTAACCTTCCCTTGAGCGCATTAAAAGAAACTAAAAGAAACTTCATCTTTGCCAGTTGAATCGAAAAGATTTGGCCTCCTTCGAAGGCGTCTCCGGTCCAGGCTGAGACGGGACCTGGCAAGGACTCGAGGTGTCGTGCAAATACCTGCCCTGGGTAGTAGCCCTTTGTTATTACTAGGGTTATGATGATGAATATTGTCATAGTTCTTTATTTTCTTGTTAGTATCCTTGTCGACCTCGTTGACCTCCTCCTCGCCATCATTACCATCATTACCATCACCATCACCACCATCGCCACCATCACCACCATCGCCACCATCACCATCAGCAGCATCAGCATAGTAATCATCACCATCATCATCATCATTGCCACCACCACCACCACCACCACCACCACCACCACCACCAGCAGCAGCAGCAGCATCAGCATCAGCATCAGCATCAGCATCAGCATCATCATCATCATCATCATCATCATCATCATCATCATCATCATCATCATCATCATCATCATCATCATCATCATCATCATCATCATGGTATCTTCCTGGAGAAGTAGCGGTTTCTTTGTTTGAGGGTACCCTGCTTTGGGTTGGTTTAAAGGGAAGCCAAACGTAGCTCTTGTTTCGTTGTTAGGTGACCCACTCGCATGTCCACAAACAGGTTTGGGGCAGGAAAAACAGGATCCCCGTTGCTCGGCTTCTGTAGCCAATGTAGGTGACTCCCCTATTGGAGACACATGTCTCGTGTGAGCGCCCTCCTGCAGGAGTTTTGACAACCTCAAAAGGTCGTTTTTGTTGCTTCTGGATTGGTTGCATACCATGGAGTACCATGGAACTTTATCCAGCAAGAATGGATGGTTGCCGGTGGACGCACCAAACACGGGATTCAGATGATCCGACAAACGATACTATAATATGACGCATGCATCCACTCGTGCGATGCCATGTTTGAAAGGTCAGCATTATAGACATCTGACATACATATTTACCTTCGCAAGTACCTTTCTGTTGGGGTTGATGTAAAGGCAAATCAATGGAGGGAAACTATATTTCGAGAAAAACCCAAATTTTGAGCCACATCTCTGTGTTGAGTTCTTGTAAGCGCAAGCCCTTGATGATTCTCAAAAAGCGATCCGTCAGAAAGCGATCCGAGTCTGGGCTGCTCACAGGCGCCATCTTGGGACTGACCTCACCCCCCCTTCGCTTGGTGATGATCGACACAGACACAGACACAAACACAAACCAATCAACCCACCCAACCAACCAACAACCAAACACAACACGACAACATAACATAACATGTTTTGTTTTTTTTAAGGGAGAAAAACACGAGTCAATCAAGCATGATATTCCTCGTTGAACTTCTGAACCCGGTGGACTATATAAGGGGCATTGTACTTAGCAAGCGGTTAGTAAGCCTGCTTATAACCCCACTTAGGGGACTTATAACCAGGTTTAACAACCACTTACTCAATAAACGTTGAACTCGTAGAGGCTTAACTGGAGATCCCCGCCAAACCTTGAAAACCTAAAATCCTAAGGAACCGCACGGCTGGGAACCACCAAGTTGCAAACCCAACGGTCCGTAAACAAAAAAAAACTTAAGCAACTGGAAGCTATCTTTCGCCACATTGCAATTCAGGGTATGTCGAGCTGCATAGCATTTCATCTTGTTGGTGCGATAGGCGGGGAATGAGAATTGCAATGACCCCGTTTTCACCATCCTCTATGGTTTTCTTTCAGGGCACCAAAGCCTGGGTTCATTCCAATTCTCATTCCCTATCGCACCGATCGCAAGTCTCTGTTGCTTTCTACGAAGCCCTGCTAAAAGTTTAACTTTTAGTGGCTTAATACGGAAAACCCATTAGTTGGCAGAAAGTCAAAGTCCCAACATCCGGGCAAAATGCACCAAAGAAGACATGACCGTGCAAACGAGCAAAAAGCGTTCCTGCCGGCCTCGTCGGGAGAGATCGCCGTCTTGCGTGAGGCCTCGCCCACGTTGCCATCGCACCTCCGCTTTTCTTCCGAAAAAAAATGCGGCGAGGCCATAGGCGGTCGAGAAAATATCGATGGGTTTCCCTGGGAAAAACGGAACTAGACCCATCTGAACGCGGGACGAGTGAAGCCAACCTCGTAGGTGAGTTAGAGAGTCCAAGCGCTATAGGTGGGCTTTTGGACAAAGAAATTGGTTTCCCTGGTAAATGGAATAAAACCCATCTAAACCAGAAGTAAACCCATCTAATGCTAACCAAGATTGGTTTTTGTTTTTGTTTTTTTGGAAAATGGAATCAAACCCATCTAAACCAGGAGTGAACCCATCTAATTCTAACCAAGCTGACCGATCAAAAGGCAAAAGGCAACCCCTATACGCTTACCGCGTTTGACACGAAAGCGCAGTGCTGTTGGGCATGCAAATCGTCTTGCGTGCTCTTGGGGAAGGACCAGTCAATCTGTTCAGTCCAAGTATGGTTGCTATGGAGATTATCGCCATACCCCTAAGAACAAGCAAGTTGACCCAAAAGCAAAACACTGAAATGTCTGGCTGGATCGGTCCCGAGACATCCGTGAGTCACCAACTTCAGCCGAGCCAGACTTTGGCTCAAGACTTGCCTCATGGTGCGGATTCAAAAGAAGCGGAAAGGAAGCTGGACCGACCAAAAGGGTACCCTAGGTCCTCCAGTCGAGAGGTTGGAATGAGGGTACCAACCTCTTGTGTTTTCCCTTTTTTTTCGGCAGTCTATTTTAGTAGGGGAACCCTCCCAACCGAATGAGGGGTGAGAAAGAGCACTGCTGGGGGACCTAGTACCAGCTCTGAACAAGACAAACCCAAGTCCCCACTTCAGGCGTCTGGGAAATGTCAGGGATGACGAGGCAGAGAAGATTTCAACAAATATGTAACGACTTATACCAGTACCCCCCAACTTGCCTGCTTTTTCACGCGCCCAAAAATCCCAAGTACGGTAACCAAAGAAAACGAGGTTGTTGGGGGGTTCTGGTAGCCCTTCTCGCATTTGACCAAAAGACAAATCCTATTGCGGCCACAAAAATGCACCGTCGGGCAAGCAGTAGGTCCAGGTTCTTCGAACATAAGTCACAAGCGTCGACCTTTGTAAACTTTCGAAGCGCATAAACCGCTTTAAACCCCTGGTGCTCATCACTTCCGGCAGGCAGCAACTATCTGGAAGCCCTCCCCCCAACAGAATTTGCTGTAAGAGCCTAAATGATTAGAACCGGATTGAGTCATCATAGGAGTAAACGATTAGCCACATTTACCCGTATACATTACTAATACTAACAATAATAATAATAACAATACTCGGTTGCTTTCTGCTCCCCTGCTAAAAGTTTAACTTTTAGTGGCTTAATACGGAAAACCCATTAGTTGGCAAAAGTTAAAGTCCTAACATCCAAGCAAAATGCACCAAAGAATAATAAAGGCGGTTTCCCTCTCTTCCCGCTTTGGTCCCTGCCTCGCCGCTTCGTCGGGGATCCCGGGCAGGATCGCCATCGGAGTCGCGTGGCCCTGTCAAGCTAAGGGCTCGTGGGGTTTGTGGGCCTTCTGCCTACCCTCCCACCAACATGGAAGTTCTCAAAGCCCCTTGGAAAAAAGAGGAAAGCAATCTTTCTACAGGGGTCTATGCACTGCCTGCCTTTTTGGGGCCCTGTTTGATTGCTTCATTTGAGCACCTGCCAAACAAAGGAAAAACCGATTACCGCTGGGCAAGTAGAATCAAAGAGCTTGCCAACTTTGAGTGGTGCCGTGGTGAGCAACCTTTTTGGGGTGAAAACCAAAGGAACTGCACAGGAAAGGCTCGGTAACCTTAGGCCTAAGGGACCTTAGGGGTGATCGAAGGGTAAGCACCATGGCGCGTGCGAAGCCGCGAGGATCCAAATTGAAAAGCTGGGAAGTTCCACCGGATCCGAAAGCAAACCAACTGCGTACCCAGGTTCCCTCAATCGTTCAAAAAACGGATCAGCCCATTGGAAACAAACCTGGAAGAAAATGGGCTGGGCGTGGAGTGGGCTCATGGCGATGTTGCTGAAACTTGGCCCCACTCATAACCCCTGCCAAAAAAGCTGAACTGCTCGAAAAATGGCTCGGCACCGCGAGGAGAAGGCTCTAAACTAGGTCCTCTAGATTTGAGAGCTTGGGATAAGGGTACCCGTTTTTTGTTTTTAGTTTCTCTGTAGTCTTTTTTTTAGTAGGGGAACCGAATCTCCCAACCAAAAAAAGGGATTAGAAATCGGGACCTAGCCGAAGGAACCTCTTTGCGAGTCCTTCCATCGAAGGCTTCTGAGAACCGAAGGTGTCAACCAACCTACCCTCCCAACCAAAAAAAGGGAGAGAAGGGCACTATTGGGGAACCTAGTGGTACCGCTTTCGAGAAACCAGGAAAGTAGGAGTCCAGAAGTATCATGAAACATGTATTTGCTCCGAAGTACACCCCCCATGTACACCCGGGTATACCCGGGTATTCTGGGGTATGCCCATGTGACAATGTGGGGTATGCAAGTATCTAAGCACTCTATGTATACATATATATATATATATATGTATATATCTATATACACGTACATATGTGTATATATATACATATTGGTAGCACGTGTGTACATACATCTATATATATATACATATATATATATATATACATATATATATATTATATTACACCTGTGAGTCATATACTGGAGTTTCATTTGCATCCATCCTCCGCCAGTCCCCTGGATGTCTTCTCGCCTGCGCGGGTCGCTCGTCGCGCGGGGAGGCTTTGGGCTCCTCCGGCTCCTCCCTCCGGGGCCTTGGATTCGATGCGAGCAGTCGCGCAGAGTCTTTGGGGCGTTTGGGGGGGTTTGGGGGGCTTGGGGAGCTTGGGGGGCTTGGGGAGCTTGGGGGGGTTGGGGAGCTTGGGGAGCTTGGGGAGCTTGGGATTTAGGGGGTTTTGGGGTTTGGGGAGCTTGGGGAGCTTGGGGAGCTTGGGTTTAGGGGGTTTTGGGGTTTTGGGGGGTTTGGGGAGCTCGGGGAGCTTGGGGAGCTTGGGATTTAGGGGGGGTTTGGGGGGTTTGGTGGGGTTTGGTTGGGGGGTGGGGTTTGGTGAGTTTGGGGGGGTTTTGGGGGGGTTTAGGGGGGTTTGGGGGGTTTGCTGGGGTTTGGGGGGTCGGAGGGGTGTGGGGGGTTTAGGGGGTTTGGGGGAGTTTTGGGGGTTTGGGGGGTTTAGGGGGTCGACGGTGTCCAACACTCACTTCTCGAGTGCGTGGCCCAAAGAAGGGTCCCAAGCTGTGGTATTTACCGCGAAAATCGTCTTCCCAAAACACTACTCCCAGGGTACACTGGGAGTATTTACCCTTTCCATTGAAGCCCTGGGGGTGGTGGTTTGGGGGTGAAAACCATCTTAGACGAAAAGGAGCCATGAATGGAGTTTTGTTGTTAATGCTTTGAATGGTGTCCAGCAAAGGCAAAACTCGGCTTCCCTCCTTGGTGGTTGGGTAAATCTCGACCTCTACAAGAGGCAGTTCAAATCAAAATTCAAACCAAACTAATAGAAGTTGTTGGTGGGAGACTTGACCTCAAGAAGCATTTCAAATCCAAACCAATCCAAACCAATAGAGGTTGAGAGAAGCAAAAGGCAAGCCTCCTGGGCTTACCGGGGGAAATAGCGGCTGAGTCAGGGGCTGTGTTTATTTGGGGGTACCCCTTTTTTGAGTTGTTGCAAAGTGAAACCAAGAGGAAACGTTCAATCATATTTCAAGAAAATTGAACCAAAAGGTTGCTCTAGGGTAGGTAACTCATCTTGTGTGTTCCCTTCTGACACCCAGCACGCAGCCTTTTTCTCGCAGGGCGATGCTCGCTCATCGGCTCATCGGCTCATCGGCTCATCGCGCGCTCCGCGGCCCACTCCGTCATGAACTTCTTGCGGAGCAGGTAGTATCCTCGGCTCCCAAGGGTTTGGCCCCGCACCATCGAAGTCATTCCCTGACAAACCACCAACCGGTTGCTCAAATTGAGGAAATTTCCCCCCCAAAAAAATGAACCAAACTCACGACCCCAGCTTGATTTGGATCAGCTAGAAAGCTGGTGTTCTTACCCCACAGCACTACATGAAAACCCAAAACTGAAGCCAGTGCAACCCAGGTCATGGTCAACCAAACTGGAAGGCCGAGAAGCGAGTGGATGGAAAAAAAAGGAAATGCAGCGGCGCAGCAGTTGGGATTCGTGGGTTTCTCAAGCAGTCAACCAGTGTTCATAGGCGTTCATCCATCCCAGCTGGAGTTTGGCCCACAGTATGTCCGGGTGGTGTATATTGATGTGGAATGTAACCCATGACTACGTTTGTCACTTCAATGCGGATTAGTATCACAGAAAATTGCATAAACCCTACCGACCCTTCAACTATGGCATGGTCCAGTCAGATTGGCATGGCAACTGGCAATCCACCATTAGATCGATGGCGGTTAGTATACCCGCCAGTGTTTACCAGAGGAGCTTCATCAAATTGAGTCCTGGCCAGTATTTCAATGGCGCTTGGCGCGGTTTTGTCTTCAAAACGAGGCCACCAACAAAAAAGTCGTGAGGCGACGTCTCCCGTTGGTTTCCTGTTAAGACCACCCAACAGGTTGGTTCCCCCAAAAACGCGCAGTGGCAAGGGGCTGGCTAGCTGCTGGGCTCTTCGGTGCTCGCTCTCCATGATGATGGAGGTAACCTCATAGCCCACCTCTCGGCTCCGATCGGCGCGAAGCGTTCGGATGTGGGTCTGGCGTTGAGAAACCCCCGCCAGTTGCGCACACATGACACAGACGCAACTCCTGCTGAGAACAGGTGTACTCCAAAGGCCCTAAGGCGCCTCCCAAAGGCCGTCGTGTGCTTTCCATTTGGGGGGTGCTCAAAATGATCCACAACATGCTTTCTTGTTTCCACTGAAAGCTCCCAAAGGAGTCCACCATTGATAGGAATATCCATTTGAGTTCAAGAAGACCTCTCTGTTCAAACGCCTTGCTCAATTCCAAGACTTTAGTCATCCTGGAGTTGCACAGGAGTGTTTCACCCAAACTCCCCTCTCACTCCCCATCCGAAGGAATCTCCTTTGGGAGTACCTTTTGAGTTCCCTCCAAGACCCCTAAGCCCAGAGAATCGAACACAAATTGCGAATCCAATTCCTGCTGATGGACGGAATCCGTTCGCAGCACTTTGAAACCGCGGTTGAAGCCATACCGTTTTGTTGGTATATTTGCAGGGGAGTCATCATAGGGTTGCTTAGCTGGTACGAACGGAATTCGTCCATCCACAACGCGTCTCACCCCCAGGGTTCCCAAAATTTCGACAAAGCCCCCGATCCAAGAGGAAAGGTGAGGTTGGAAACCACCAAAAGTTGGTCAACGTTCAACCCCACACCTTTCTTCTGTGTTCATCATTGCAAATGTTCTAGTGCAAAGATGCTTCCATTCAACCAACAAGAACATTCCCCACCCACCCACCCATCCACCCAGCCCCTCCCTCCCCTCCCACACCCACCCACCCAGCCCCTCCCTCCCTCCCACCCTCCCTCCCTCCCTCCCTCCCACCCACCCTCCCTCCCTCCCTCCCTCCCACCCACCCACCTACCCACCTACCCACCCACCCACCCACCCTCCCTCCCCACCCACCCACCCACCCACCCACCCCCCGCCCGCCCCCCACCCCACCCCGCTCTTCGCCTCCTTGGAGGCGGCGGCCACCTGCCGCCGCAGCACCTCCTCCTGGAAGGTGGCGCGGTCGATGGCCGCCACCGTGATCACGTTCTCCTCGAAAAGTTCGCCCGGGGGAGGGCTGGGGCACGGCTGCGGGGGGGTTCTCCTTTTAATGATGATGGAAGGTTTCTCGAATCATGGAAGGGGTCTGGGCTGCCTGTTTCCAGATCCCCCGCGAAAAGTGACTAACTTGTGGGTGAAATTCGGAAATCCAGCCACTCAACACTAAAAGGCTAAAAGGCTAAGGGGATGATGGCTGCGAGCCACCCAAGGTCTCTGGGCAAATCGTTTTTGGGGAGGCGGCCAGGGCGAGACCCATAGAAGACCGGCATGGATCATTCCAGGGAAAGGGCTGGGGGGCGGGCAGCTTGAAGGGGCCCAGACTCAGACACTGCAGACAGTGGTCGACGTGTTGCTTCCCAATTCAATGTGTCGGTAGCATGACTGGCAGAATCAATGCGACCTTTTGCTGGTTAAAGGGGAAGATGAAGCAGAAACCCAAGAAGGAAAGTCTGGCAGTCTGTTAAAACCCAAATGTTGAGTCCCAAATGTAAGGAAAACCAATGTTTAATACAAACAAACACACATTTTTTATTAAAAACAAAAAGAAAGAGATAAGCCTTTGGTTTGGCAATTCGGTTTACAGTGGCCTTTCTCAGGTTCCATGTTGGATTAAAAAAATCCTCCGCATCGAGTCCCAAGGAGTTAAAAAAGAGGGGAGCCCATGGGCCAAAACCCAGTTGGCATTCATGGAGGGTCATCTCTACTCTTGGTATGGGCTGGCAAAAAACTGACTGTTTTTTGCAGACCCCCAGTAAAAATGAACAGAACCAAAAAACTGAAAAGCTAAAAAACATGCCAAGAACAGTGAAGGGGTGGCTCCTCTTCATTTGAGTCACAATCAAAACCTGGTCTTAAAATGGTCTACCCAAAACCGCGTAAAAGAAAAAAAAACGGCTGCACCCATTTATAGCTGAGATTCTCCCTTACGTGGTTCAAAAGGAAACCAATGGAAAACCATCCATTTGGCCCCTCAACAAAGGCACTCCCTTATTGCTTCCATCCCAACGTCTACAAACGGTAAGGTCGGGTGTTTCCAGTTCTGGTATTGCCAACGCTGGGGGTGAATTAAAGATCTAGATCACAGTATCATCCCCCTCTCTCTCTATCTAGCTCTCTCTCTCTCTCTCTCTCTCTCTCTCTCTCTCTCTCTCTTTGACATCTTTACGCACATCTTATTGTTCTCATGTTTTTCTGATCAGGATACCCCAGTCAAAATACTGCCAGAGTGGGTTTCATAGTTATCAACCTTAAATTATCTTGGAGTCGGTTTTCCGGGCCATCGAAGGGTTTCGAGTCTGTTCGGGATTCAGTCAACCCACCGGGTTACACAAATGGGGGGTGATCAAAAGACCCTTTACATGACAGTTGGGCAACTCTACCAAACACAACTTTCCGGCCCGAACAAGGCATTCATGAAGCCCCAACTAGGTATGTGTGTGTGTGTGTCAAGTTAGGGGGCTTCCGTGTTCCTTGGGGCTGCCCTTTCAAGCCACTCCGAAAGGGGAAGCGTCAAAAGAGACACACCCACCCACACACACACACACAATTTTCGCCCGCCAACAAGTGGTTGGCCAGTGGGATTTCGGATATGGGAAAAGCAGGCCCCCTCAGTCTCCTTTCGGCTTCCCCTTCAATCCACTCCGAAAAGCACACCGTGCAAAGAACAAACATGCACCAAGAAACCTTTCAAACCGCTCCAACCCGTTTTTCCGCTTGACCCTCTCAAACCGCAGCAACCCATTCTTCGCTTGGCCTTTGCCTTACTTCCATTTGGTTTTTCGACCCCTGGAAATGAGAAAATATGTCCGTGATAAATTCCTTTTAAAGCCAGGGGAAAATAACAAATATGTGTAAGCAGATGGAAGAAAGTGGAGCGTTGGCCAATCCAAACCCATAAGCCAGGCGGTCTTCCATTAGGCTTCCAACTCCTTGAGCAAATGGACGCTTGGCGACTTCCAACTCCTTCGCTTCTTCGAGCCAAGTGGCCGACAGGGGGCCGCCCTCCCGCCACACG